AAAACTGTCACTGGTATCAACCCTACTGGGTAAATTCTCAATGACAATAAAAAGATCCTCAATAGTAATCAATGCTTCATTGTGCATTGCGTCACTGAATAATAATACTCTATTTCATTGATTTGCAATTGCTGCAACAAATAAAAATAATATAAGTGAAAATTGGTCTGAAACGGCAGAAAATAACTTTATCCTCGTTAGAGATCCTTAGTAAAGCAAATACATACTCCTGATGCTTTCATCTGCTTTCAGAGAGTGCAAGATATTAGCTCATGATGAGATTATAAAGTATATATTATAATAAGTTATATCAGATCTTAGGCGGGATGATAGCTGAATAAAGCTCTGTTCTGATCAGAAATACTTTGACTATTGTATACCCTGTTTGTGGTATAACAAATATATCTGTTACGAAATATTTGATAATCTATTCCAATTCTTTGCAAATGCCGTTATTTATCTCAGATATACTCCATGTATGTATATGAGGGTTTAAAAAACCTATAGCTTAGTTAGCTGGGATTTTGTTGGGGCGAAAATAGTTGGACAGTTAAAATTTACTTTAATTCATACAAAACTTGATACATTTCCATTGAAGCTTGATCCATTCATTAAGCATATTTAAGTTCAAACGAAAATTCAGTTATGGGAGTACAATCTTGCATCGTTCGCTCTAGTGAAGTCCCTAAGAATTCGTTTAAAATCCACCCATCTCATCGGTGCACCTCATCGTATTCCTGGCATCTTACGCATCGGGTACTATCTCAACATGAATTTGTATAGATGCCATTGAGTTTTGTGTAGGAGGCTAGTTAAATTGTAAAATTATGTTAGGTAAAACCGGCCTGTGCTTGATTACGTTTCTCATCTTGGCATCCGTGGCCGTGCAAGCAAAATTTCAGAAGAGACAATGGCTGATTCCACTGAATCCTGACAGTTTCAAGAGCTTCTCAGATGATCAGAGATTCTTGGTTCAATTTTATGTGCCCAATTGCAAAAGCTGTGCCTTCCTGAGACTAGACTTGAATTACTTGCTCACCATCTTAGAGGCCACATCGAATAATAACATCACAGTTGGAACCCTTGACTGCATCAAACATGAGAACTTTTGCCATGAGCTGAATATTACTGAATATCCGACTATGGGCATATTCGAGAAGCGGGGAGAGCAGCACAGATTCATCGACGGATCACCCAATATGCAAACGTTGCAGCAGTCCTTGGGGATTCACAATAATGGCGTCGAATTCGTAGGACCCGACTCCGACAATGCCTTACTATGTGAGCCAGGCTCTGTTCAGCACTTGAATTCTGGAACCTTCACGCACACCGTAGCATCTGGAGTATTTTTCATCAAATTTTACTCACCCAAATGCGTACACTGCAACCAATTGGCGCCCACTTGGATAAAGCTGTCGAAAAAATTGAAAGGAAGTGATATATGTGTGGCTGAGGTCGACTGTCTAGCCTCAGCGGCTCTTTGCAGAAGTTTCAATGTCACTGAAGTGCCACACATTGCTTGGTTCCAGAATGGCAAGGAGGTGAGGGTTTACACTGGACCACGAGATCTTAATTACTTGGAAGAATTCGCCAAAGATATGATTGCGGGGAGGTCTCGTGACACCAAAAATCTCTCAGCAATCGCCATTAAAAAGGCGAACGACTTGTATCTCATGTTAGTCTTTATGATTTATATATTTAATGCTGTAGATTGTGGTCTATAAGACAGGCAAATTGATCTTCACTAAAGTCTTTCGATATAGATAAGTTCCTAGAAAGCGGTATCTTAGGTATATAAAT